ATAACCCCAGCCCCTTTGAGGCCATTTTCTTTGTTAACTTCTTGGATTTTATATTTTCATCAAAACCTTCCCTAAACTTCCTCATCCTATTATTTGCTAACATTAAAAAAGAAATTCACTAGTAACAGTCTCTGTGATTAGTAACTGTTAAGACTGGTAACTGTTAGCATTCTTCCTGAACAAGTTCAATTTCTTCAATCAAGTGTAGCATGTAACTGCCATTTCCTTTTGTTCATTCATTTAATGTTTTTCAGAATGGAAAAAGTACTATCAAAATATATCAAATGGTCCTCTGCCTTCTCCGCTGGTTGGCCGCCTTGAGTCCAGGCGTGGGGCGAGTCCGGTCATGTAACGCATGTTCATGGGGAACATGGCACTAAACCATTCCTAGACGACCTGCTTCTGGATCGGGGTTTTCTACCTAGCAGAGCAGCTCCCTAGCTGCAATCTATTGAAAGTCAGCCCTCCACACAAGGATTTGTAAAAGCATTAAAAGAGAAAAAAAAAAAAAAAAAAAGAAATAAAGAAAAAAAATATATCCAGTATTACAAAGTGACAAATGAGGGAAGTTTTAAAAACCTAAAGTTAAACATGGCCATTTTTCACTGTTTCAATATTTGCATATCCAGAAACTACTTTGAGTTTTACAACCTGACAAGATAGAGGTTAAAATGGGGCGTAGAGAAGTTAACTGACTTGCTTAAAGTCACAAAGTAAGTTAATGACAAAGCCCAAATCTTTGGACTAGACACCCAGTTGTCTGTTCACCATTGATGATTATCTTCCTAAATAACCCGTCTTTCTGGATTCTCTGTTACAAATTCTTGGTTTAAAAAGACACACTTTGCATGTCAAAGTCAAGACTTACTGCAGCAGGACTGTGGCCAGAAATGTACTTGTCCCACTACACTGACTCACTTTGCTAAGGTAAAAAATGGATCTCACCCAAATATATTCTATCCCCACTTTCCCTGAATAGGAGACATTTATGTCTTAGGTAGCACAGAAAATCTAAGGAGTTTAATCATCGAGTCTTTATATACCCTGAAGCCTATGGTTTAGAGGAGACTAAGGTGGAAATTTCCCAGCATTTCAGTTGTGTTGGGATGAATAATTAAATTTAGAGTACGTACCTCTAGCCTTCTCACCTTCACAACTGACAGCCAGGAATGCCTGGTTATTTATCTCCAAAAAACTGTTTCCAAAGAGGAGAGCAAATGATTTTTTAAAATGCCAAAAACAGGGGCTGAGTTTGTAGCTCAGTGGTGAAGCACTTGCCTAGCATGTGTGAGGAACTGGCTTGGATACTCAGGATCACAAATAAATAAATAAATAAAATAAAGGTATTGTGTCCATTTACAACTAGGAAAAAAAAAATATATATATATATATATATATAAAAGACAACTTGGGTCAAATTTACTGTTCAATCCATGTGTACTTAAAAAATGGCTATTTGGGGCAGGCACAGTGGTGCACGCCTGTAATCCCAGCAGCTCAGAAAGCTGAGGCAGGGGGATTGTGAGTTCAAACCCAGCTTCAGTAAGGCCCTGGGCAACTCAGTGAGACTCTGTCTCTAATAAAATATTTTAAAAAAGCAAAAACACTTCCCCAGGAGGTCAATATTGAGATAGCAGCCTTCATATTTACTTCAGACTCTTACTTTTTGTATGACTATCAGGGTGTGTGTTTAAATATTTCTACATTTGGCAACCAGGATGTATGACCTCCTTTTCTTACACATGCCCTATTGAGACATAGGAAGCACCCTGCCAGCCTCTTAAAATGAAACACATTTGAACAGCCTTCCTGTAATCAGGAATAAGCTTACCCATGCTGCTATCAATTTTTCTATTGCTGTAATCCCAAGTTATAAAGTCTATAACAAGATAGACAGACCTGTCCGTCAGACTAGAACAGGTTATTTATATCTGGTATTCTCTAAAACAAGGTACAGGCAGGACAAGTGCAAAGTGTTTAAAACAGTAGTTCACTAGGGTACCAGGCTAATAGTGAAAATACAAAGGAAGAAGGCTAAAACTTGGCCATGTCTACTTAAGACTGGGAATAAAATATATTACCTGTTGAATTTTAAGAGCTCTTTGCAATTTCAGCACCACAGACTCAGCTCTGCCCTGAAGCTCTTCTGTAACTGACTTTTATAGCTGTAATTAACCAAAGCTGGGTGGGACAGATTTACTCCTTCTCTATAATGTTATTATTACCGGCTCATGGCTAGCAGCTAGCAGCAGTTCTCGCCCTCTTGCACTAGATGCCTGGCCTGCACAATTAGCACCTTATTATAGGCTGGCCTCTTCTAATTACCACATGGCTCAATTGAGCATTTTATTTTATTGTCTTGTTCATGCACTAGTTCAAGGGCCTGGGGTCCCCAACTATAATAAATCCTAAACTCCTCTTAGGCAGGTGTTTTGGTTTTATTTCCTTAGGCCCATAAGAACATTGGCATACAACATCTTTCTGACTGAAGAGCTTCTAGATGTCTATGCTGGAAGTATGGCACATGGCTGGAATCTAGTTCTCCTACTCAATCATATGTACCAGATTTATCAGCCTATTGAGGACTCTGTCCTTAGCTGTTTGAAGTTAAGCTCTGCTTACATATCACTTTGAACTTTATCTAACTTGGTGGGCTGAAATAGACAGGGGAACTTCCCATCAGCACTGCATTCCTCTAGAAAAAGGATTCAGGCTCCTTGCTTTGGATTAAACCTTGCTGTAGTTTACAGAGAGGTTACCAATTCTGTAACAAACATGGGCCTCTTTGAATTAAATGGAGTTTGGGGAGATGCTACAGATGTAATGGTTAGGGGTATAGGTGTGGAAGCCAGAATAGCTGAACTCAAATCCTGGCTCTGTCATTTATTAGTTATGGGATTTGTGACCCTGCTCAAGGCACTTAAGCTCTCTGTGCCTCAGTTTCCCAATCTATAAAATAGCATTCATAGGGCTGTTTTGAGGACTGAATCTTTAAGTGCTTAGAACAATGCTTGGCACATAATAAGCACTACGAATAGTGTTACAGAAATTTAATGAGATAAAGTGTTTTAAAATAGACACATCTACAAAATAGTATGCTCCCAGAAGAGTATGACAATGATGGAAAAAAGTTGGCTTAACAGAATAATGGGCCATCCCTGGCTTCTTCATTTTGGGGGGCATAATATGTTCTTTGAATGGCTTCAATAAGCTAAAAAGCTAAGAACTCTGAATTTATAAGTTTTGAAGACATCTAATGCCCTATCACAACAAAGGTGACAAACATGTTCTGGCAGCATTTAAGTAGAATGGTTAGTGAAGGAATAACTGTTTTAGTAGATAATTTAAAATAAGCACTGTTGTTTACATTTCTTCATACATATTTAGCCTAACATATCAGAAATCACTTATAGCATTATTCAGCAAATACTACTAACTTCTTCAGCAACGAACTTCTGTCAGTTGTCAGAGGGATGGTTCAAATACATGTGCTATACTTTTAACAAATTTTTATTATTTTTGAAGTGCTGGAGGTTGAACCCAGGACCTTGTGCATGCTAGGCAACTGCTCTACCAGTGAGCTATAGTATCAGCCCTGTTCTATGTGTTTAGAGACCCACTGAACGATTTTTATACAAAAATGATTTCGTGGTATTCAAACTCAAGACTTTTCTTCCTGTGTCTTTTCTGCTTTGTCACCTTTTAAATCCCCACCTAATAGTCCTAGCTATTAAAATCTTACTTTCAGGATCTTTCATTTCTGAGCAATAACTAGCCCAAACTACCATATTTAACATAAGAAGTCCCTTGTTATCTCACCACACAGAGTTCCTTACATAGAATCCAGCTGTCTAACCACATGCAAAGGCATCTATGCACCACAACAGGTGGAGCACCTGTGCCTTCTGCAGGAAGGAAACCTTTCCCGCCTCACCTCTCCAGTTTCCCTGGAGGGCAAAATCCAACCCTATGCCTTTCCTTTCAAGTGCATCTGTAGAGAACTATGCAGAGATCTAAGTGTTCGAAAGCTAACATAAAGTCTTTTCTTAGGAGGCTCTGTGAAACTGTATGTGAAGCTATTATCTGAAACACCAACTTTATTTATTTATTTTTTTTTGGATGGTTAATCTGTCAAGGGTAACTTTCATTTTTGAGAACAGGGGAGATCCCTCAAAAAATGGGACCTCGGGAAAGTTTCAACTAGCTGGGATCAACTCACACACCCCCGCCCCCATTTATCTATAGGGATCCTCTGAAACTTATATGGTACTCTGTCCCCTCCTCCTGTGACACCAGCTTCACCTTGCTGGTATCCTCACTGGATATCCCAGGCCGATATTCCTACTCAACCACCGCGGGGGGCTGGCTTTTTTTTTTTTTTTTTGCGGGCAGCTGTCCACAGCTCCCAGAGATCACTTTCACCAAGCTGGGGCTTCCAGGAAGCGCAATGGACGCCTGGACACTGCACACCTCGCCAGTGCCAGTTACAAAGACCCTTCCTCCTCTCAATTCTCTTTTTGGGACAATGCTCTGGCTAACGTCCCAAGCAAAGGGACCTTGCGAGGTCCTAGATCAGCCCTGGATTCAAGAAAAGCAGGGAGAAAAAGAGAAGTACAGAGGGTATACAAGGTGCAGGTAGAATGAGAGGAGGAGAAGCAGGGAAAGATCAGAGGGAGGGCTGGAGGGGTGAGGAGGCCCTGGGATTCGTTTCCACTCCTGGCCAGACCCTTCCCATGGAGAATGACCTGAAGAGGGCTTCAGCGGCTCTTTTCAACCATCCCAGGGACCAAAGAAGTAGAGGGGGCGGGGAGACAGCCCTCCCTTGGCCAATCACGAAGTCTGCCTCCCCTCACTCGGGGGGCTCTCTCGGTCTCGGTCCCAGTGGTCTGTCTCTCTCACACACAGCCAATCTGCTACTTCAACTCCGGCGAGTCCTGGGCCAGCGCTCTCGCTGCACCTCATCTTCTTCACCCCAACCCCAGTCTCCGATCCCAACTGACCGTGAAGCCGGAGGCGGTTCGCCAGTCCCAGACCCCCGGGGGGGCTCCCGCGGCCGACGCCGTCGCCTCTTCCTGCAGTCCCTCACTCGGGACCTGGCTTCGGGCTGCGGCAATGGCTCCCCGGCACGAGGCGCCACGGCTCGCCCGACTCAGCCAGATACCGGACGGCGCGCAGAAGCCCATCGAGCTCCCGGCGGCTGTGGCGGCCGCGGCTGCAGGGGCGGCAGCCGCGCAGGCTGATGACGCGCAGCGCGGGGGCGCGGGCGACGCGGGCGGATGACTCGGCGCGCGGGGCGGCACGGCAGCATGGCGTCTGTGGTGCTGAGCGAGGCGGAGAAGGTGTACATCGTGCACGGCGTCCAGGTAGCGGAGGCTGTCCTGCGGATTGCAGCTGGTCCTCGAGTCGCCGGGGAGGAGACTGGGGTGACCTTGTGGTTAAACAGCTCTGCGGTCCGCGTTTGCAGCCCAAAGCTGGCAGCGTGGGAGTTTTTAGGAGATGGGGATGAGCGTCCGCATAAGGAGCGATCACCCTTGGACTTTCTGGGTTAATAAGATTCCGACTTCAGCAGGAATCCTTGGGCAGTCCCTGGGGCAGTTCTCAGCGAGGAGCATCGTTTCCACGGCCATCCATTCAGCCTCGGCACGCTTTACTAGACCAAGCCTCAGGTTTCTCCTCTAGGAAACCGGGATCTGGGGATGGGCATCTGGCCCGCTTTCTCTCACCCCGTGGATGGGAGGCGCAGAGAGCATGCACCTGAGGCGAAGGAGCTTAGGAAATATAAATCGCCTTAGGAATAAAGGGAGAAGAATTTTTAAAAAGCGACTTGGCATTCGGTGGCATAATTGTTATCGTTTTCCATTTGACAGTGGAGAACTAAAATCCCCAGGCAGCTGTAACTGAAGATCTTCTGTGCTCAGTCTTCAACCCCTGGTTTTGACCACTCCAGAACAAGGGTTGAGGACTGTTGTACCTGGCAACGATATACCGGTGCCACCCTCTGAGTCTATTCACACTTGTTAGCTCCCTGTGTCCTTCTCCCATCAGAATTCTAAAGCACACCTCTTTCCTTCGTGCCTTTCCTCTGCCGTGACCAAATGCAAAGTCAGTATTCCCATGATGTAGCCATCAGATTAAATTAATTCTCTGTCACTTAATGTGAGTAAAGGCCATGCCTCCTTTAAAATTGTGACCTGGTGTTATCTTCTGTACCCTTTATAGACTAAGAAACGTCAATAATTAGTTACCAGATTTCATATTAAACCAGGATAATAAAATCGGAACTTACAATCTCACGAGCTTTTTAGTTAGAGGATTAGGAATAGTGGAATATATTGGAAATGAAGTAAAGAATGCTGAACACCCGGCTCGTGGTCAGCCCTGAAAAAATGTTAGCTCCCTTTCTTTTCTTTTCTTTCTTTCTTTTTTTTTTTTCCCCATATATCTAATTAGCTTTTATTCACAATTCATGGATCAGGGCAGCCTCCATTCTGTTAGCTCCCTTTCCCGTTTTTTTTTTTTTTTTTTTTCATCAGTGATAAGGCTTTATCCTAAACCACTCATACTGAATTCCCAGTCTTCATAGTGACTCCATTAAGGACTTAGCCTTTGGCTATTGGGACTTAAATTCTTTTGATTTGGGAGCTAGGAATTCTTAAATTATATCACGAAAAGGGGTAGGAAGTGCCTTGGGGTCTCTGGAGCACAGGCTCTCCTGTATTCTACGGATCACATGGTCTATGTGGCTATCAGACTGTCTCTGGTGATACTTCTTTTCTCTGCCAAAGTGTATATCTTTTCTGTGACTTCTTGCTGTCCAGCTTCCTTTCTGTCTTGGTGAAATCTGTACACCTCCTCCACCTTAACTTTTGTGTGACCTCTCTAGCCTCCCATCACATCATGACCTGTCAGCCCCTGTTTAATTCCTCTCTTCTCTCAAGTGTTTCCCAGATCAGCGGTCAGATTCCAGTGAGAGAATTGGTTTGGCCTTCTAGTATTTCATGATTAAAAGTTAGTCATCTTATGGATAGTATGCTTTTGGGTTGCCTACCTACTTCTGACCCTGGCTATTTTGGGTGGATGATTGTTTAGTTATGTGGCTGTTATAGAACTGTAGGTACAATGGGCTTTTCCATGGACTTTTCCAGCCTATTAAGTTCTGTGTCCATAATCTGGTCATTAAACTGGCCCCCATAGGGTCAGACCAGTCCATGGCAATTGATTATGCATCCTTGGAAAGGAAAATTTGTAGCACCAAACAGGCTTTCCTCTTGGAGCTCCAGGAAAGCTGATTCATTCTATGTTCTTGGTTATTGAAGGAAAATGTAGCTCAGCCAATGGTTTCCATTTCTTTTCTGTAGATTTAGCTTTTATTTTAATGTGTGCCTGGGGCACAGCACAGAAGAGAGGGAACAGGGCTTGAGCCTGATCTTCAGCTATGAGATTGAGAAGTCAGCATTTAGTTGCTCAACCTGGCAATGGCAGAACTGGAATCATCCTTCAACACTCTTGCTTTTTAGCCCTGTGCCCTTTCTATTTACAAACCCGTGGCACAGAAAGTCTGTGTCCAGGCACTGTGGGGTGCAGCCTTGTGGAGCCACATCCTTTCAAAGAAATGCAGGACTACTCAGGAGGCTTGGAAACTGAAACGGGAATGAGTGTCTATTTTTGCTGTGTCTTGGACTTGGGCCTGCAAAGCTGGACTAGAAGAGGTTTGAATCTCAGTTCTCTGAGAAAGCTCTGAGGTACTAGATAAGCAAAACAAGGTAGATGAGAGCTTAGCTGAGAGGACCACTCCCAGTCTGAAACTCTCCTAGTGGATTAGGAACACTGGGAGGCTGAGGCAGGAGGATTACAAATTTGAGGGCAGTCTCAGAAACTTAGACCCTCAGCAACTTAAGACTTTTTCTCAAAATTAAAAAAGAACTGAGGATGTAGTTTTTTGATCTCGGTGGTAAAGTGTTCTTGGGTTCAATCCCCAGCACACTCCTCCCTGCAATAAAAGTAATAGGACTAGGGACTGGGGTTATGGCTCAGCAGTAGAGTGCTCGCCTTGTGTGTGTGAGGCCCTGGGTTGGATCCTAAGCGCTACATAAAAATACATACATAAATTAAATAAAGGTATTGTGCCCCACTACAACTAAAAAATTAAAAATAGTAGGACTGGATTACTTAGGCATTAGGCAAAACAGCTCTGAGCTGAGTTCATGTCTTCTCTTACAAAGAGGAGATAGACACTTAGTGCCTCGGTTTTCTAATGTATAACCCCTCTCCAGGGATTTTGACGACTTCCTGAGCGAATACATGCTCCCAGTAACAGGGGAAAGAAATGGTTACCCCGTGCAGGGGGCTCCCCTGAAATGATTTATAACCTTTGGATTCTCCTATAACTGTGTTAGGTTGAGGTTATTCTTGCTTTATAGATGAAGAAACAGACTCAGAGGTCTTAAAGAACTTGCTCAAGGTCACCAAGCTGGTATGTTAGAGTCCAGATTTAAATATTCAAAGGAAGGTCCTTGTGATAATAGCTATGTGAGTTGCCAAGCACTAGCCCATCATAGGGAAGCCTTGGATCTAGAAGGAGCTTCGGTCTCCTCTGCTTGGAGGACTGGTCTTCACTCTATGGTGTCCATCAGCTTGATTTTTAAAATGGAACTTTCAATTCAGGGCAACCTGTGTTTAAATGTTTATGTGTGGGTTAATTTCTTTGCTCTTGAGTGTTGCTGATAAATAAAAATCATGGTAGGGCTCTAGGCTCTGAGCCAGGCCAGGCAGGTTTGGATGATTTCCTGTCTTTTAAAAGGAAAACTGGATTTCAAAAAAGTTGCCCTAGGTACAGTCGTTCATGAGCTTAGTTAGGTTTTGTGTTTATTTTTCTTCTATTCTTTTGGATGTACCTTATGCATCCTTGGAAAGGAAAATTTGTAGCTTTTCATTTATTTTTTATTTGTCCTCTGAGCCTTTTCCAGGAGGCAGAGAAATTAAGAGCTGGAAAGGCAAGATATAATGAGGCCTCATTTTCTTTTCCATCTGAGTATAAGTGAGTTCAATTATAGGTAGACCTTTATTTTATTTTAATGTGGTGCTGAGGATAGAACCTCAGTGCTTCACGCATGCTAGGCAAGCACTCTACCTCTGAGCCACAACCACAGCCCCTGATTGGCATTTTAAAAGCAGTATTTAGGAGTCTTTGACCTTGTGGCCTACTTGCTTTCGGGAGCTAATATCATCATCAGGACCACCTAGTAGAGCCAGCTGCTTGGTCAAGACTGTGCTGACTGCTTTTGTACAGTGGAGAGACCCTTAGAGGCAGCAGGCTGTGTGAAGTAGAGGGGAAGTATCTGGCTTGAAGTTCAAATGCTGCTTACTGGCTTTGTGCTCTCAGGCCTGTTACTTGGCATCATTCAACCTCAAGTTTCCCCATTTGTGAAACGGAGTGAATAAATACTATCTAAAAAGGTTATCATAAAGATTAAATACATTAACTGTGTGGTGTTCCTAGCACATTATCTGATATAATGAATGCTCAGTAAATAGCTGGTATTGTAAATAATTGCAGCCATTTAAATTTATAGATCTGTACAGTTAAAGAACCACTTTTGAAACTGTCTAATTTGATCTTTTACAAGTGAGGAAACTAGTCCAGAGTGGGAAGGGACTTGTCCTAAGTCAAATGGCTAGTTAATGGTGGGACCAGGCCTGGTCCCATCTGTTACTAATTCCCCTAGTGATTGTTCAGTCTTGTACCTTGCCTGTAGCCCAGAAAGGAATCCTTGTAAATGATGTTTTGGGGGCTGGATATGCCTGGGACCTTGGACAAATGGGGATGGGGAGGAATGAGGTGTCAGAGATGGACCTGAAAAGCCTTTTAAAATGATTGGCATTTTAAAAGCAGTATTTAGGAGTCTGTGGAAAGGAAAGGGATGTGAAGAGACAGTGACAGAGTTATAGAATCCTCTGGTGATGAGGGATCACTTTATGGCTCACTCTCCCATGCTTGACATTCTGTTGCTTTTTGAGTACATGTCCCTCGGACTTATAGACTGCTTCCTGCCAGGAAGTAGACTGGCAGTGATTCCGCCTGGTTTATGGAGTTTATTTTCTCTCATTAGAAGGAATTGAGAGGGTTCTAGAGCTGAAACAAATATGACAGATGGTTGTAGTTAGTACTGTGTGGTGGGAGCATGCAACAATGTTTTGTTTTCCTCTGTTTAATTTCTCA